ATGGTATGGAATTCAGCAAAAAAATAATAAACCTATCAGTCAATAAAATAAATGTAAACATTCTCCGGAAATATATATATTATATATATAAAGTAAAATATAAAATATATATATCCAAAAATAAGACAAGTTAGCCAAATTTAGATTTAAAAATTTGAAAAGAGAAGTTTACTTCTTAATAAATTGAAATATCTCGTTGCTTGGATAAAATTCTATCTATCAATTCACAAATTAGAGTGAGGCGTTTTCCTACTACGACTTCAGTTCAATACACCTGAGTGTCCTTAGTTAGTCAGTTATTTAGTTAATTAATTAATAGATGTCCAAAAAGTAAAACTAGAGTAAACCCTCAACCAGGAACACATGTCAACGCTGATCAGCGCAATTACACTGTCAAGTAGAAAACACAGAGAACAAAGACGAAGAGTCCTTAAAACCAAGCTAGCCAAGATTAGAAAACAACAACCAGACAATACGCCTACAGACTGCGTAGTCAACCTATCAAAACAACCACTATGAAAAATGGAACAACAACTACTACGAAAAGGATTAAACTACAACACCGGAGATGCTTCGAAAACTGATTTCTTCGCTGCCCTTGAATCATTACTCAAATCATCAAACTTGAACGAGGAAACACAGGAAGAGATACGCCAAACAATTGTACCAATGGTCAAACAGAAAAGACAACATACACACAACTCAACTCTCAAGAACTAAAGGCCCTCAAAAGGCTGAAAAATAGGAAGGACATCGTCATTCCACCAGCCGACAAAGGGAGAACAACAGTAGTCATGGACAGAGAAGAATACACCAAGAAAGCTGAAGAACTACTCAAAGATGAAGATGTATATCAACAACTCCCAACAAATCTCATACAAACAATGGACAACCGCATCAAAGGACCTTAAACAAGCTCACCAAAACTGGACAGATCACAAAACAAGACCAATGGCGAATGCAATCCAATGGACCAGTCCTACTCCGATTCTACGGCAGACCTAAAATACACAAGCCAAATATCCCATGATGACCAATTGTATCACTTTCAGGAACTCCAACATATAATTTATCCAAGGAATTATACAGAAAACTAAAACACCTAACGGAATCTTGTGATCACTCCATCAACTCTGCTATCCAATTCCTAGAGAAAATCAGAGACATCCAAATAGGTGAACAAAAAATAATAATATCTTTCAAAGTCACAGCATTATATACCTCAATCGGACAAATAACTAGCAAAAGAAACCATGGAGCAATTACTTAGCAACGACGAACACCTTCCACAACAACCAAAAATGCAACACACAAGCTGGATGGAATGCATAAACCTATACGTAACAACGTACATCAAATTCAACGGCTAAATATATGAACAATTCAAAGGAACACCCATGGGACCACAAATATCAGGTTTGACTGCGGAAGCAGTGATGCAAAGGCTTGAAAACATAATTCTACCAAAGATCGAAACCAAGATTTCGCAAATTAACTATTCAGCTCAGAGAACACAACCACATCAAAATCATCCACCTGAGCTACAAATCTTCTCTATTATATCTAGTTAGTTAATTAGTTGATTATAGAACTCAGCCCCATACTCGGGGCTGCAAACCACATGTAATGTGTGTGTGGGGGGGCTAATAAGATTGACAACCCTGAGACAAATAAACATGAAATAGCATGATTATAATTAACCAAGGACAATAACGCTTATTTTTCTGAACGTTTAGCGAACATATACGCCATCAAATCTGTAAGATGACAACAGTTTCAAATTATGAATAACTGAGTGTGTCGCCGTATACAAAGTTCATGTTCTCATTCATGGGGAATTAACAATGACTTGATAAATTGATATTAATATACTAAGGGGTAACCCCAAATCACAAATTCGTAGAAGTTAGGATTCATGAGCCATTGAATCAGTTCCCAGTGGCTGAAAGGTATACCAGCTTGCCTAGCCATGTAACCGGAAGGTCCTGGGTTCGAACCCATATGGTGGGTGAGTACTACCGATGATTCCCAAACTACGCCGGATGAAACAGCTGTCTGGCAGTACTCCTTGGTTGGCTGGTTTCCAATGGTTCTCGAACTGATATCAATCGGTGAGCAGCTCGTAAAAACAAACTAACCCTTACAAATTCAAACTATAGAATAATATAAGAATAACAAAGTTCTGCAATTATTAGTGTTCTCTTAGCTGGTTGGTTTAGTTGCGGAGCTTTCGTCGTTTTTCTGGACGACATCTTCAGCGCAGTATTTAGGATAAAGTGAAATGATTTAAATTTTTCTTCATGAGTGATATAATTGCGTCTCCCGGTAACCATCTTTACATATGTATTGACCGTTTTCTATTGACTTGTATTTTAAACTTTCTGGTCACCTGATTTACCTTTTTATTAGTTCGTATATTTTGTCTATATTAACGTGTTTTTTAATTGCATATTCGTTTGAGTAGAAGGCTTCTAGGAATTCTCAAATATATGAACAGATGAAAGGAACACCAATGGGATCGCCAATATCAGGATTAATAGCTGAAGCCGTGATCCAATGATAGAATTAATAGCTCTACCTATAATTATACCAAAAGTCTGGGTACATTACGTTGATGATACATTTGTAATAATTAAGAGAAATGATTTGGAATATACCCATAAATTAATAAACAACATATTTGAAGACATCAAATTCACCAGGAGAGAAGAAGAATTAGATGACAAAATCCCATTCTTCCTAAATGCCCTTATCAGGAGAACTAACACAGGAAATTTAGAAACACAAGTATACAGAAAATCAACGCACACAGATAAAATACTCAACTATACTGGCAATAATCCAATTACTCACTCACAAGCAAAACTGTGTGCAGACAGTTTAAAAGACAGTTCAAACACACATTTTAGCACTCCAGAGTTGAAAAGAATGGAAGAAAAATACCTACAAGCGGTCTTCAAAATGAATCGTTATCCACAAAATTTCAGCAAAAAGTGTTTAAAATCGAATCACAACACCGACAAGGAACCATCATTAAAGAACACAAGAAAATTCATCCTACCATACATGAGAAATATCTCTGAAATAACAGCTAGAATATTAAGACTGTTTGGAATAGATATCGCATACAAGTCAGCCAGTCGAATCGCTTAATTCGATATTATGCAAACCGAAAGATCCAACAGAAAAAGGGGATAAAATTAACACCATTTACAAAATAAATTGCCTGTATGAACTGTAACAGAAATTATATCAGTGGTCAAAGTGGGCGTCCCCTTCGAATCAGAATCCAAGAACACAAATCAGCCGTGAAAAGACATGATATAAATTCTTTAGTATCAATGCATACAGACAATTATGGACATCAATTTGATTGGGATAATTCAAAATCTTGGACAGAGGAAACACCAAAAGTACCAGGGAATTCCAAGAAGCCTCTACTCAAACGAATATGCAATTAACAAACACGTTTATATAGACGAAATATACGAACTAATAAAAAGGTAAATCAGGTGACCAGAAAGTTTAAAATCCAAGTCAATAGAAAACGGTCAATACATATGTAAAGGTGGTTACCGGGAGACGCAATTATATCACTCATGAAGAAAAATTTAAATCATTTCACTTTATCCTAAATACTGCGCTGAAGATGTCGTCCAGAAAGACGACGAAAGCTCCTCAACTAAACCAACCAGCTAAGAGAACACTATTAATTACAAGTCATCCACCTGAGTTACAAATCGTCTCTATTATTTCAATAACAAAGTTCAAAGAAGAGTCTCTTTTCGGTGGAGAATTCATTCACTTAGCTGTACAATTGCATTCACATATAACCACTTTGTTTGTGTGTGTGTGTGCACATTAAGATTGTCAAACAAAAATGAAAGTTAGCAAGGTTTCTTATTTACGTCATCAAAGTGTTTCTAAAGTGTGGTTATTAATTAAAATTTAGTAACTAGTGGAGGAAGGGAGGGGTGAAGATTGGTAAGTATTGACAAGGTAGCATAATATGAATAGGATGATAACGGAGACACGTGTACAGAAAATAAATTATTTAATAGGTAGAAAGAGTAAGTGGATGGTTGGTTAAGAGCAAGATGTTACTGATTTATGCACAGTGAAAAAAATTCTCCACCCTCTCCTTCTACCTTGGGTATAATTCCAAGTTCTACTACCTTGCTAATAAGGCCTTTTATGCATTTTAAAAAAATGACATTTAAGTAACGCCATCTTTTTCTTAACCAACCCGTTATTTACTCCTTCCACCTATTACATAATTTATTGGTCAAGTTAAACTTTAAGCACCACTGACTAACATTGGAGTGCGCCGCACCAATGACCTAGAAACACTCAGTGAGCCAGTCAGTGAAATAAAGTTTTACCCACAATGGAGTAATACTCTCCTGCTACTCTAAAACTGGGAGCCAACGATTATCATGCGTTCAAGATCACTCCGATTAGTTTTTATTTCTAGACTGTGGACATTGATCTATAATATATCCCAAACATGCATTGATAAAATAACGAATGACATAACTCTTTTAAAGCAGGTTAGGATCGAATTTCTGATTTACAGATCATATGGGAAAAAGATGACTCTAATGAAGGATGTTTAAAATAAACTTCAATTTTCCTACACTCTTGGAAGTTGTTTGGTGCTTTGAAGTTTCAGATTTCCACTCGAGTGTGCTAAGCCCCCTAGCGGAACCTAAACGAAGAACAACACTTTGGTCGTTGCTGAAGGATGACATGGAGCACGTTGTATGAGTATGAGATGAAAACTCAAGGGTAATCGTGAAGCCAACTAAAGAGGACAACACAGAATAAGATAAAATTGAAATGCGCTGTTGAAAACCTATTGTTCCCACTTGGAACACCCAAGGGGATGAAGATGATCGATATTTCCATAGTTAATCGAATACAAAAAAGGCCAGGAAATAGTAAGCAATATAGACAACAGTGATGATTCATAACAATAATAATAATCATATACTTCTTACATCAATGATTGAAAATTTCTTTCGAACATCCAGTGGCTTATTTACCTGTAACAGAAAACAGATAAGCAGTTTAGATGAGAAATGTTAATATATGTGTAAAACTTGGTGATATGTACCCACATGATGTGTGTTTTGTTTTGACAGTCTGTTATATTTTGCTATGTGTATATGGATCCATATTTCATTATAACTGACAATATGCTTTTGTCTGTCCACTAACTAAATAAACATGTATAACCTTGTTGTCACATGACATTACAACCAATCATGTTAAGACTGTCTATTTATTGGATCATGTGTACTGGTCATTTTCATACATACTTTTGTACTGTATTCTTGTACACACATTTTCGTACACTACGTACCATTTCACTCACACTCTTATGTGACATTTATTTTCCTTGTCTGGAAAATACAAGTATCATTGTAAACTTGGTGGTCTGATTTCCCTCTTTCCGTGTCAGGACCATTAAAACTACTCGACGAGTACATAACACTTGGTCACTGTAGTATCACATAAAAAAGCCTTGAAACTTCATAATTACCCGGATAAATTAGTCAGGAAATATGTAAGGAAATGTAAAAATAAAATAAATAATGATAGTAGCGATAGTGATAATAATAATAATAATATTGATGACGACACCAACAATAAGGAATCTAAATCATCAGTAGTAATCCCATACAAGAAAGTAACCTAGAAAACCTTACTCAGAAGTCTTAACAAGGCAGGCAGGAATATAAGTGACTGGCATACAAGCTGTCCACAAACTCAATTAGAAACAAGCTTTATCAGTTAAAGGATCCTGTCAGTGGACCCTTTAAAACAAAACCTGCAATGATTTTCAGGTCAAACTAGTAAAACAGGGGCAGTCAGTCAGGCTAACCGAACATAAAAACCTAACAAAATCTAGATTGGTTGATCCGAATACGATAAGGAATCTAGAGAATAGTTCAGCTATACCACTCACTGCACGCAGTTACACACAACCAGACAATGTCTGTCTGTCTGTTTTCGACATAGAACTATACACAAATGTGCGGAAGTTCAAGCCGCCACACTCCGTGTAGCACGCGAAGCAAGAGAAGAAAGTACAAGAAAAGCATAATAGAAACAGTGAGCAGAGGTGTGAGACAAAGGAGTAATAAAGAAAAACAAAACAGTTTCATTGGAGATCATAAGTCACAAGGAGTGGATGCATCTGCCCTGGCCACTGAGAACGATTTTGAGCCATGTCACCAATTGTTTCCAACCATTGATTTTTACCGTCCCGAGGACCCCAACCAGTCAGTCAGGAAGTCTACACCTTCCTACGTGGCTTAGACCAACTGTTGTGGATTTCATTGACTGATGCCAAGTTTTTGTTTGACCGCCGATAGCTCTTTTCCAGCCTGACCGCTAACATTGCTCGTCGAGGGAGGCGATGACTTGGCATACGTAACACATGTCCTAACCATCTCAGTCTTTGTAACTTCACGACTTCGTCGATTGATTTCCCTGTTTACCTAGAACTCGACGCCTAACCTAAATGTTGCTCACCTTATTATGCCACTTTACACGGGAAATAGAGCGCAGGCACCTATGATCAAAGACAGCTAGTCAGGCTTTTCATGTCTTCCACTCTCAGTGGCCAGGTCTCACAACCAGACAATAGAATGATGGGATAAGATGATGGTTTTTAAATCCAATGTAACAGGGTGAATGGAGGAAGAGATCGATAACAGAAGCTTTGTTTATCCGAATCAGCTGCAAACACGTGCAATAGGAATGATTCAACACCTGTCCACTCGGATATCTGGAAAATTCTACTACCCCAACGACGACAAATAGGAGAGGACAAAGGAAACTATAAAACTCAAGTTTCAAAGTCCGTTGATTACAAATGATATGATTATCAACATTAATAAATTTTGTTCGAAACGTCATCCAGTAAACAGTAATACTGTTTCACTGTGTGATATATCTTCTAATAAACAAACTAATATAGATGAGAAATGATTTGTTCACCAGTCAGAACTACACATACACTAGGTTAAACGTTTTGATTAGAAGAGCAAATAACGAAAATCTACGTGTTGAGTAAATCCTCTGAATTTTTTGATAGATGTGATTGAATGTCAACAAAGTTGATTGGTATTTATGCATAAAATAACGAATACACGTTGTGGCGAGAGCTACTGATAAGAGCTATCAGTAGTATATATATATGTAAGGAAACGTTCATCGGCCGGTATAAAAACATCAACTAGCAGGCAGATGGATTTGATTTCAGAGAAGGCAAATGATACAGCTTTAGAGAGATAGATACGTGCGAGACATGAAAGGAACACAAAAAACACGATATGAAGGAAGGCAAGAAGTACTACAACATGCAGATCTGTGCGAATTGTTCTTTGAAGATAAGGTATACATAATTTGGATACACAGAGACACCAATCCGCCTACTATAGGTAACAATCCCTTGTTAAGTTCTCGTCTTCTACCGCTTCAACGTTACTTAAGATTACATAACTGTGAGAGTATGTCGATGAGAAGTCGTTGTAAATTTTGCAGCATTAGATTACACAGGTTAGTCATAACTTGGATATCCATTTGGATATACAGAGTGTAGGAAACGAATAAGTGCTCGCACTGGTGAGTGAAACTCTCAGTTAATTGTCTTCTAGGAACTTTCTTTGAAAATTCAATACTTTCTTTGACGAATATACTGTTTCTTTGCAATTACTGGGTTTTGAAGTCCGGTGTGAGGTCAACTGCGGCTCAGACAGAAAATACGTCAACGTCTACTGTGGAATGGTTCCAGTTTTGTCGAGTTTTAGCGTCGTGGAAAATGAATAGCATTACTCAAGTGCGGGGAGGAGTCGGTGTAGTCGTTCATATCGATGAAATGGTTCTCATAAAGAAGAAGTACAGACGAGGATGTGCTAGAGCGAATAACGTTTGTGTTCTGGGGATTTACGACACCCAGATTCGGAAAGGATTTATCGAACTTATTCCAGATAGGAGTGCTGACACACTTCTCCCTATTATTCAGAGGCAGCATATAACCGATTATCGGATTTGAGATACATACACCATCAAATTAACCAATCGGATGAGTTCGTCGATCCCAGAACTGGTACTCACACAAATTCAATAGAAGGTTTCTGGCGAAGACTCAAAATAGAATAAGAGCTTTAAACGGCTCTCAAAATCAAGTTATTTTTAGTCATCTAGATGAACACATGTATAGGAATTGGTTTAATTTAAAAACTGACACTCCCCATTATAATTGGAATATCTTTTTATCTCATATTAGACAAAAATACCCTGTTTAGTGTTTTTTCATGTAAATATACGTAATATTTTGTGTAAAAATCCTGCTTATTCTGATTGGTCGACTCAAGGTGACTCGTGCGTTCGTATCCCTTGGGACGCCAGTGTAGAACTTTGCCCGAAATATCAGTTGAAGTGGAACATAGGGCTTTGAAAGCCCGACACCAATCTCAATTGGTTCTTTACAGTCTCTTTTGAGCTAGCTCCGCCTCACACGACCTCCTCTGTATCACACTAGCGCTTATATGTGTCAACTTGTCATTTCCCAATCGGGTACCACACTCTAGAACCTGAAGTGTAATATCATACAACGGTCTCCTCACAGTAAGTCGAATCCATCACCATCATTAACAAAGTTCCTAGTTGTCCATCATTTTTGGTCAGCCATCTGGCCTCAAGTGACATCGAGTGAAGGGAAATCTCTTTATAAGAAGTCTACCGTAGTCTGTGGAAAACGCCCCCAAGAGACGTGTCCCCCCACCACCACGTTTATGCATCATAGAGAAGTACTGAATGCCTCGACATTAGTATTAAACATCTAAATCTTGTTATTGATGTCGAATGCAATAGTATTTCTACACTGAATTCAGATCCTCAGTGGCGTTGACATCCTCATCATCTCTGTCGTGTGCTGTTGGAAACCTTACTGTCTAAGTAAGTGATGTAAGAGATTTCTCCTAGTGATGTTGATTGCCGCTCATTATTCTTGTTGCTGCTGTTATTATATATATACAAATTTAGTTAGAAATGCTTATGTAGTTGTTGTTTTCTTTTAACTTACTGAGAATTTGTATAAACGTTGAAATGTGATTGGTTCTCGTTTAGCTGTATCTCGTGATGAAAGACCTAAAGGAAAAGGAAAAAGAGAGAGAGATGAGGAGGAGGAGGAAGGAAAGTCTTTTTTTGACCAAGAAAAGATGGGAAATAAGTCGGGGAAAATCGACTGCTTCAATATCCTGCCGAAACGGATTACATAATATATATACATATAGAGAGTGTGTGTGTAAATATAGCATACTAATGTACTGCGTTATTACTATTATTATAATAAATGAATTATTAATCTAATGATAGACGAATGAAAAGAAAAAGAGAGGGATTAGTAGCAAAGAGTGGAATAAGAGACAATGGATTTGCTTACTTTATACTCAGATAAGTTGAATGTCATTCATTGAGGCTTCACAGTTTAGTTTAATGCTAATTAAACCATATTACCACTTACACAGTCAATCAGTTTATTAGTTAACATCTAACAAGACTGAGTCAGCATTGTAGAAGAGAGAGAGAGAGTTGAATGATGATAGTCCGTGTCCATTAGGTGGTAGTACACCTTCAACACTCTGAAATCAGTTTGGAATTCGTCTGCACCCAGCCGGCTAGCATAAAGAACAAGACTAGGATTTTCAACACCAATGTTGAATTAGTCAGTTCTTCTGTATGATTTAGAAACTTGGCGTGTAACGAAAAAGTCTACTGCAGACTTTTATCAGCAGCTTTCCGCCTAGCTGGCTAGTTTCATACTGAAGATCAAATGGTCAGCCGACAAGCCAGAAAGAATTAGCAACAAGAAACTATGGCTGAGATCAAACCAACCGTGAGCCGATTGGTTGCTTAACAAATATGTAGAAGAAAGTGGAGATGGATGGATCGGTGGGGCAAACATTGAATGACATCGCGTGCAATGCAGACCATCGCTTGACTGGAATCCCAAAGGGGAAATGAAGAATGAGTCGTCAGTGCGAGGGTGACATGGAGGAGATCATGTGGAGAGGATTGAGATAAGAGATTATGGGGAATCTTGCACCTAGCTGAAGAGGATGGTAGAAAATAGAAGAAAGTGGAGATGTGTTGTTGAAGCCCTATGTTCCACTTGGAACCCAAGGGAACAGTAATAATAATGATGATAATATACGGTGGGTTATGCACTGGTACTATTTTCCTTATTTGTTTGATTTCATTGCTCAAATCTCTGACTTACTAATTAGTCTCCTCACCCAACCATATATAGACATTCAACTAAGCTTATCTTTACCAATTTTAGATGGAATCAACCTAAATAAACTTTTCAAGAGTTAGTTTCAAGCATGATCACGGACTCCAGTAGGTGTGTGTGTGAGTGTGTACTGATGATGAGTTCCAAACTAGACTGACGAACGAAACAGTTGTCTGACAGTAGTGATTCACACTGACAGAAACAATTAATCATCAGAAAATATAAAGGGTAAAGAAAAAAAAGAAAGCAAACCACACACTTATTACCTGATGTTAACCTTGGCGATTCATAGGCAGCGACATGTGGTAGTGTTTCAGACTTTCCATGCAAACTTGTTTGAAAATATGAAACTGTACATCGTAAATTGTGAATGCCTAATTCTTTTAATTCATGACTAATAACAGCATTCAATGATTGTCCTGGATGTAAGTCGAAAACACCATCACCAGGAGTAGTAGTAGTAGCAGTAGGACTTGTATTTAAACGTGTATTATTATTATTATTGTTACAGGAACCATTCAGTGAAGGACATACAGGTAGGGTAATTAATTCTGTACGATTGTGAAGAGCAACCTAAATTTTGTAAAAAAAAAAGTATAATAACAATGTAAGAATAGAAAAAAGAGACTTGTGTTTATACGCATAGGTATACGAAATAAAAAGTGGCCAAACAGTCAGACGAACTGATCGAGTACAGTGTGAATTTTAGGTATTTGAATAAAGCAAGAACAACAGTGGTGGTTTGTCAAGAATAATATGGTACCATCATTTGTTTATTTCGTTGGCTTCTCATCAGCTGTTGCTTACAACCCAAATAAATCATAAGGTTTACATACAGAAAAGTTTTAACATACTTGCAAATTTTACATGTTGTCAGTTGACAGAAAGTTCCACAATTAGTGAACAGTGCTTAGAAAATTGCGCTTATATAGTTTTACACAGCAGTTGAAGTTTAAACAAAATAAATGTATGCATACAATGGTAAAAGAGTTACGTAATAAAGACGAGATATGCGTTAGGTGTAGAGTGACTTATAAATTAGGTAACAAAGTACTGAGTTGAACTCAAATCATAGAAACAAGAGACAAGCAAAATTAGAGATTACAAAAAGGGGTGAGGTTAAAGACAAAGATTACGTAATCAGATGACAGAATAAAGACATCCAGTTACCAGGGCAAGGAAACACCAATACTGCTTCTTTCTGAACATATAAATCTGGTTTCAAGCGTTTGATAGAATTTGCTTCGGCTAACTTGAGGAGGATAGAGCTCCTTTGCCTATTGATAATTTTAAAGGATTTCTCGATTTCTACCTCATGACCTGTGTCGAGGGGATGTCTGGTAACAGCGCTACTTTAAGAGTTTGTTCCCTTGAGATGTAGGCTTTCCGTACATATTCAGAAAATCGGAGGTGTGCTCTTCTTTCTGTTATCCCAATGCAACTGCTCCGCAGATACACGTAAATTTGTATACACAGAGTTAACATGAGAAGGATATCTGTCGATTTTTGACTGCACCAAAGAGCATGCTGTTCGATGGATGGGAACCAACTTAGCTGCAGGGTAGGCTCTGGCTGGTGACGTTCTCAGTCTTCTGTTGTCCATTTCTGCAATGTTTTCACCTTTAAAATCTAATTGAATGAAGATCACAGTTGAAAAAGAAGCGGGTCATTTATGTCTGGTGCCACATTAGTTCGAAAAGGCTTAGAGGCGAAAAACCAAAGAGTTTTGTGGAAGACAGGCTGTAGAGATGGGACTTCAAATAAGCATAGAGGAGATGGAGGTGTTGGAGATAGCCAACCAACCAACCAACTAATAGTAACAATAAGCGCACCGATCACTGCCAACGGAAGAAATTTAAAAGAGGTCATTCACTTCACTTATCGATGAAGCATCATTGCAACCTAAAGGCGACAACACAGATGAAGATCCTGAAATCAAATAGGGGAGGCGAGGCAGACACCTTCATTACTCCGAAATTTGTGTGGAAATCCTCTACACTCGGCCAGCATAAACAAAAAATTCTGATTTTCAGCACCGACGTGAAGCCTGTCGAAAGCTTGGCGAGTGCATCCCAAAAGACTAATGCGGACTCTTATCAACAGCTGTCCCCATTGTTGGCTCCATAATGAAGATTAGATCATCAGTCAGAAAGAATTAGTATCAAACAGCTCTGGTAAACAACGAACCAATCAAGAGCCGATCGCTCAACAAATATACCCAAAATGGAGAAGTATAGGACACATACTGAGGAGACTGTTTGGTGACATCATGCACCATGCCTTCGAATGGGAAACGATGAATTGGGCATGAATCCAAGGGTGACATGGAGGAGGTCATGTAAGGAGAAGATCAGAGGCAAACATGGGGCCAGGTGAAGGGGACTGCAGAGGACAGGACAAAGTGTGGATGTAGTACTGAAGTCTTATTTCCCACTCGACACACCATGGAAGGAAGGGCTTCGTGTGCTTCGGAAGTGTGTGTGTCACCGGGGGGGCGGTCATTAATTCCCAGCGGCCTAGATTGTGGAAGTTGATTGATTCCCGGGGTTAATGTTGAGCCCAGTGGACGAACTGCTTTGAGCCGGTCACATACGGCCGGTATGAACTGGTTTCTCGGATTGGTTCCACATTAGTAACTTACCGCCCGTTATGAACAACTGTGGGGTGGTAAGTTGGAATGTACAATTTTTGGTGTTGACCTTTCCTAACCCACTCTCCGTCTCTCTCTAGAGTGGAGAGACAGCATAACTGGTTGGCATGCTGGTCACCACCTTAGGAAACACCTTACTGCCGTTACATCCCTATTCCCCAGGAGTACGACTTCACCCACAGACAGACCCACTATATCGTAACTGCTTTTAGTTAATCGCTATCCTAACAATCTTACTGGCATGGTTAGGACCTGCAGGAACAATAGTTTCCAGGCAGTATACCACATCAAGGTGGCTACTATCGGTCGGGTGACACCCCAAGGAATAATTATAAGGCTGCTGCTAATGGTTGAACGGAAGCCAGAGCTATTTATTTACCCAGTGTACATAAATGTGTATATATTCACTCTTGCTTTCAAAAAAATAAACAAAGTGTAAAGAAAGTTTACTCTCTTCTGACCATTATAAAATTTAGACAGAACATTTTATTGCCATCCACGACAACATCGACAACCGAAACCAAAACTAATAAATCATTTATATTTAATCTTAAGAGGCATTTTTATTAACTGGAAAAAGAAATCATAAAATAATAAGAATAAGAATAATATTTATAGTTATGCAATAATAAATGAAATTTATGGTCTCTTTAACTTCCGACTTCCAAGTTTTATTCATAGTCAAATTTTATATCAACCCCCCCCCCTTTATAGATGAACAAGGAAATAAATAGCACTGGTTGTCTATATGGGCGCGTGACTGCATTCTGAAGAGGTTTTTTTTTATGTTGCCGTCGCATCATAGGCTGATGTGTTTGTACAACTTGACTTTTTACTGGATATTATATATAAACAATGCAATGAAATTGAAATTCCACTCGAATAATATATATATATATATATATATATATACTGGCACTTTTCTTAATGTCTGAGAAATTATAACTATAGGTCTGTGTGTCCCAGAAATAAGCGTTACCCATTGAAGTGAGAAAATTAATTATCCAAGTGCACCAAGACTTAGTTAATCCCATCACTCTCCCCATTCGACTGACATAATCTATGTCTCAATTCATTTTTCAGGCTAATTTAAATAAATAAGCAACACAACAAAGAGAAAGAGGGAGTGGGAGATGGGTGAATCCTTCTGTAGTGTGGTATTTAAAAGGAATTAATTTAAATTCACTTGATGGAGTGAAGGTCAAAACTGTGAAACTTCTTTACATTTCCCTAACCAGGTATCACTCTATAAACGTTTAAAGAACAGTTTATTCGCCTATTGGCAAATTACAATTTCTGAGATTAGCTGATTGACTGATTGACTGGTTTCAACATGGTGTGGTGAGAGCAGGCTGCTAGCCGATTGGTTGGCACTAATCTACGTTAAGGTCTAGGTCACTAATATGGACCGTGAGAAAATATGAACAAGGCTGAGTCAACAACCAATCACAGCAAAGTTAACGTGGCAAAATATGATTCGCAGATAGAGAACTCTATTTGTCAAGGAATCCCGAAACAACCAATCAGAAGCCTGCGTTGGTCTACCTAACTTCTGATAAACAACCAATCAGATGACTGCGCTTGTCTATAATAATGTAGTTGAAATATGTATAAATACGTGTTGATTTTCATAATAAAACGATCTGTTGCCTGGCCCTTGTCTTCTGTTGTTACAATGGAACTTTGTACAGATGCCCATGTATCACAAAAAAACACACAAAGAATAGTAATACAGAAGAACAGTGGAGTTTTAATGGATATGATAAACTAAAAGGATAGATTGCATCTGTGCCAGCCATTAAGAACGATTTTGAGCAATAGCACCAGTTGTCTCCAGTCATTGGTTTTTACCATCTCGAGGACCCAAATCAGTCAAGAAGAATACATCTCCGTACGTGATTGGTTGGCTTATAGCAACTGTTAGAGATTCCATGAACTAATGAAGCCATGTTTTGGTTTGACCATCACTAGCTCTTTTCCAACCTGATCGATCCTATGTTAGCTAACATTGACCGTCGGTCAAGGAAGGCGATGGCTAGGCATGCGTTACACATGTCCCAAACAAACTTCACAAACGTGTCGACTGATTTCCCCTCCTTACCTAACACTCGACCGATGCCTTCCTCAATATTGCGCACTCTATTATACCACTTTATAAGGGAGATATTACGCAGACATTTATGATCAAAGACAGCTAGACTTTTCTTATCCTCCATTTTCAGTGGCCAGGTCTCACAGTCATAGAGGAAGACGGGGCGGACTGTTGAGTAGTACATCCGCCATTTGGTCGACGGCTAGCCGGGTGTCACGTCTACCAAGCAAGAGACGGCGTAAACTGGCATATGCGAAACTAGCCTTCTGTATCCGTGCTGAGATTTCGTCAGCGATCAACCTGTTACATCTGATGCAACTTCCAATGTAAGTGAAGTGGTCAACACGCTCTACCACTTCACTCCCTATATTAAAGCTAGGGGTGAGTTAGCGTAGTCCATTCCAGTCTTACATTTGATAGCACTAGCACGCATGCCAAACATTCGAAGATTTCTGCTCAGAATCATGTCTTATAATAAATCTCCTTTAACACACATGGTAACGTAAGACCAGTGTTTGGATAGTCATTCAGCTCATCATGTAACTCAAAGGTCCTGGATTTAGCCAGTGGTGGGTTTAGGCGTCGCATTATTGAAGAGTCCCCAGCTAGGACGAAACAACTTCCCTTTATCTCCTACTGGTTTTCAATGTTTCTCTAACTGATAACAACCGATGATCAAACTTGAAATTAATCAAATGCTTGGAAACTAACAATTGAAGGTCTTAAATAAGATTATTGAGCACCACTGTTTCTTGGTGTAGGTGGGTCTTGCCTACTTATATTTTTTCAGTGATATGTTCTGCAGAGCAAGAAAACGCTATAATTTTTTTTTTGAATTCATGCAGGTAAAATACCGGCGAATAATAAGTTTACAGATGACTATAGTAACATCAATTAGAGTCTCTTTCATAAAATTTTGCAATGTTCCTGCATATATTTTTCAAATACCATACTATATTTTCTGGTATTCAAAGTACCAACCCACAACCTAGATAAAAGTGGTGAACAAGTGTTTTGTCGAAGTGCTACTAATTTTGTGTGTGTGTTCCTTAATTTTCAAACAGTCGCCGAAATAGTGTAAGAATTTTTTCTACACCATGTTGGTGGTCTGTGGGCAAAGTCGTACTGTTGGGGAATATGGATGTAACGGCATTAAGTTTCTTAATGGCTGGCGCAGATGCATCCACTCCATATAACTTATCATATCCAATAAAACTATATTGTTCTTTGTTATTACTATTCCTTTGTCTCACACTTCTGTTTACTGTCTCTATTATGCATTTCCTCTACTTTCTTCTCTTGCTTTGTGTCCTACAAGAAGGGAGTGTGGTGACTTGAACTGCCACATATCAGTGCAAAGTTCTATGTTGAAAACAAACAGACGGACAGACAGTTGTCCCCTGGGCTCTGCAGTCACTCAACACTAACTCCCTTTCTGTTTCAGATACCCAAAGAATCAATCAACTTCCACGGTGTTGGCAGCCGGGAAGTAACAACCGCTCCCTTCCTCCCACACACAATTCCAAAAGTACACGAAGCCCTTCCTATCAGACAGTCAAAGATAAAATTCACCGACTAGATTTTAATCAGACATAATCTATCTATAAAGCTTAAAATACCTGTGCCGTGAAAATATTCAACTGTTAATCTCCTTAAATTTGGATCAGCTAAATAATAATAGTAATAATAATAATCCACGCTGGCAGCAAACCCATCTCATATAGTCACTTTTATATTTTAAAACAAAGTGATTACAGTTCAACACGTAGAGAGACAAAAGTTACTAAATTCTCGTGATCAAACGATGATGATGAAGAAGAAGAAAACGGAGGAAGACTATTCAACCTTAGCTTGCATCATACAGTCTATTTTGTAAAGATAGGAATTATTACATCAGCATATATGTAACTATATATATATATATATATATATATATATATATATATATATATATAGATTCACGCGTATACAATTTTCTTACTTTCAATTCAACATTGTAACAAATTTGATTACTTTCATTGTGTAAATTAACATGAGCTGAGAATGTTTCACCCAAATATGTAGTTCTAAAAAGAGATGTAAAAGAAAACACAAAAACAGCACACAACTGTATCAATACATCACCGTCGGAATTTATCTTCTCAAGTTATATATATTAGACTTCATATCGTAAGTATTCCTGCTTTCAGTCGTAGCTGCTCTTTCTCTCTCTCTCTCTCTCTCACACACACACATAGGCATAAATAAAAAAATAAACAAACAGGTGGTTTGATTCATTCTGGAAAGTTAACTTTTTTTAAATGATTCACAGAAGTTCAACCAACACATTAATAAACTAACTATCAGCCGAGAAACAACCGACAAGCGATATAATTATCAAGTGGTGGTTTGCAGGAACTCGACTGGAACAGTTTTTGCATCCACCAAGTCCGGTAAGAGAACAGTTAGTCGCCTATGGCATTGGCTGGAAGTCGAGCTTTATATACCACGAATTGGCAGCGGTTAGGATTGATGGGCTAGCCATTGAATCGAGTTCCAGTTACTGGATTGGTCTACGAACTCGTCTCGCAACCGGAATGTCCTGGGTTCCAACCCCCTCCCCCAGTGGGTGCGTACTGATGAGGGGACTCAAACTAGGACGAAACAGCTGTCCAGTACTCCCTGTTGGTTTTCCAATGGTTCTTTAACTAAAAGAAAAACAATTATTGATGTGACAGAAAATTCAGGGATATCTTATAGAAAACTACCCCTTACATTGGAACTTCAGTTAGCGCCATTGAATAATGTGATGAGTAATAATATTGAGGTTAGGCGTAGGAACGTTAAGTAAGGAAGAGGAGTCAATAGGTAAGGTTATGAAGCTACATCGATTGAGCATGTCGAGCCACCATCACCTTCCTGGATGAGCAATATTAGCTAACGACACATAGAAATAGTTTGAAAAAGAGTTAGGGTTGAATCAAATCAAAAGCTGACATCAGTCCAGGTTGACAGTGTAGGTAGGTGTGTTGAATGCCTGGTTGCACCCATCGAGATACTAACAACCATCAATGGCTGGAGATAACTGATCATTATAGTTCAAAATTCTTCTCAGTGTCATAGATACATTCACACTCTTTCCAATCTCCATTAAACGCTCCTCCCAAGCTTTCCACTGTTAACATTTTTCTTCATCATAGTTTTTTTTTTCGGAATCTTTTGTTTGCTCCACCTTACTGTACTACATATGGTGTGGTAGCTGTTGAACTTCTATGCAAAGTTTTCACTATATATACGGATTAACCATGATCTTGATTCCACTTGTTTGCAACGCTATCCGTCACAAGATCACTGAAGACTCTTGTCAGCTGGAGACATTTCATTATCGAATACTTACAAGCCTTTGTCATCAGTAGACCAAGTGACATTGGAAGTAACTAATAAACCTCTTTGTTTTATATTGCCTTTGATTTCATACAAGTCAACAATGCCATGAACAAGTATGCTTTAAGCAGTAAGCAGTGAGAGTTGATCATACCGCCTGCTTCTACTAATAGAATTAGGATGGAATGCGATTTGATCATGAGACCTATCGAATCAAAAAATGGAATTCTTCAAATAACCTGATATTATATTATTATCCTATGGTGAAAACTTTTCTCGAAGATCAATAGACATTATCAATTCGTTGAGCAGCAAACAAGCGAATCCTGTCATCCGGTAATTTAGATCACCTTGGATCCAACTTATGACAGGATATATATATATATATATATATTCTTCTCACTGATGAATAGAGTTCTTTCTCTTTCTTGAAATAAGCTGCAAAAAGAAATATTTCCTTGTTAACTTCAGTTGAAAATACTATAAAACTATTATCGAGGCATATTCATTACAAAACATATACCCTTCAGCACAAACCACCAGTGTAACAACAAGAAAGAGAGTCTACAGCCTACTCTGATTGATCTCATTGGTTGGTAATTGGTCACATCAGTTTATAGCAAACACGTTGACTAACAACCATATGCATTTAGATTCACTAAGCAATGAGCCAAACATTTTGTATCAAGGCTGATGATACTAACACTGCTAACCAGAAACTATGATAGGTGGAATGGGCTTCTAACTATTCATAACCCATTTGGAGTTGAGAGTCAAACAGTTATACGAATGCGGTAAAGACTCACAGTTTATATTACAAGTTCCAATTCTCCCAATCCTGACGGCATTATTATGTCTTCAATCAGACAGATTACAGTGTGTGTGTGTGTGTGTGTGTGTGTGTGTGTGGTCTGAACATTTCTCTTTCCCTAATTTCAAAAAGAGGCTATGCTGTGAAATTTCATCTCAAAATGTATCATTTGAGAAACCTTCATTTGGATCATAGCTGTATTCCGTAGAAAATTAGACGCAGAAGAAAAACAAGCTATCAAACATTCAAAATTTAAAAAAAAAAACTGTTAAAACAATGAAGATGATGAAAAAATTTAAAGTTAGTTGGGATCGAAAAGGTGATACAAGGCCAGCCCTCATTACTGTGATAAAATCAGTACTGTCCTTAGAATACGGAACAAAATCCGGATTTTCAACACCATTGTCAAACCAGTAATTCAACATGGTTGAGAAGTTTAATGCACTCGGCGAATGAAGCATTTCTCACAGGCTACCACAAAATTTCCCTTCCAGATCTCCATCACCAGATGACAACGATGATCTGATGACCAGCCAGAAAGGATAGAGCAACAAACAACTCTGAAAACGAACCAACACACACTAACTCGTTTATTAGATATATCGCACACAGTATGAAACAGTATTACTTATTACATGACAAAGTTTCGAACACAATCTATTATTGTTCATAATCATATCAATTATAATCACATGACCTCGAAACTTGAATTTTATGGTTTTCTTTGTACTCTCCTAATCGTCGTCGGAGTAGTAGCCCTTTCCTACATACGGTAGGGTTGTCGAGTTGTTTCTCTTACACGTATCCTCAGTTGATTCAATAAAGAAAAGTTCCGTTTTCAATATCTCTGTAATGTAAATAGATTTACATTAGATTTTAAAAGTGTCATCTTATCCCATCCTGTAGTATGGTTGTGTGTATTTGCGTGTAGTGAATTCTGTAGCTGAACATTTCTCCAGATTTCCGATCTTATTTAGGTCAACTAATCTAGATTTTGCTTTTAGATTTCTATGCTCTGCTAGTCTGACTGACTCCATTCTACTACTCTGACTTATGTATTTGACCTGACAATCATTCCAGCAGGGCATTAGATAAACTATTTTTTTTCTTTTAAAGGCTCCACTGGCAGGATCCTTTAATCAACGAAGCTTGTTTCTAATTGAGGTTGTGGATTTGAATGCCACTTATATTCTTGCATTGTTAAGAATTCTGCGTAAGGTTTCCGAGATTCCTTCCTTGTATGGAATTCCTACTGATGATTTAGATTCCTTATTGTTGGTGTTGTCATCATATTGAGCATGTTTGACATGCATGTCGTCACCAATATTTAGTTTATCTAATACCTTACCTGAGATGATTTTGAGGTCAAATACATAGGTCAAAGTAGCAGAACGGGTCATTCAGACTAGCCGAGCATAGAAAACCTAGCAAAATCTAGATTAGTCGACCCGAATAAGATAAGAAATATGGAGAATAGTTCAGCTGTAGCAAGCATCACATGCAATTACACACAACCATACAATCGGATGGGTGATATGTATCCACATATATATATTTATGTGTGTGTGTGCATGTTGGTCTCTTTTTCTGTTTGCTCTCTTAGTCTGTGACCATTTCACTGGTATGAACCTGTCTCCTTTAACAATGTATATTCTCCTTATATTATATTATATATAATATGAGTGTTTGTTGACAGTCCGTAGCTTGGTTACATATATCCATATATGGTTGTTGACATGTCTGCTATATTCGCTATGTATATTTGGATCGACACTCCATTATAATTAGCCATTCATGTTAAGACTGTCTAATGATTTATTCCCACGCTTTGTCTGGAACATTCATATATATTTCGCATTCACAATCTTGTGACTTTACTTTACTTACTTACCACTTTGGTGTGAGACCATTTATTGCTTCTCCTTGTGTTTGGAAAATAGAAGTATCATCGCAAACCTAGTGGTCTTCTGATTTCCGCTTTCTTGCGTCAGCACTATTAAATTCTCGACCAGTACATAACAATAATTTAGCGACGAGTACATAACAATGGGATAAGATGACAGTTTTAAAATCTAATGTAACAGAGTGAATGGAGGGAAAGGTTGATAACGGAAGCTTTGTTTATCCGAATCAACTGCAAACACATGTAATAGGAATGATTCAATACCTGTCCCAGATATCTGGAAAATCCTACTACCCCAAGGACGACAAATAGCAGAGAACAAATAAAACCATAAAATTGAAGTTTCGAAGTCATGTGATTATAATTGATATAATTATGAACAATAGTAGATCGTGTTCGAAACTTCGTCATCTAGTAAATAATACTGTTTCACACTGTGTGTGTGGTATATCTTATAAAAAAACTAATATGGAATTGCTTACTACCAAAGTGACCAAGTTGGACACATATATTTATAACAACCAACACATGCAATCTATCATTTAACAAATTTGCAGAAGAAAATAGAGATATATTAAGGATCCGTTGAAGAGGACTTGTAAGGACGAAGCGAGCCAGGCTCTTGAATTGAACTAGAATGAGAAACAACGAATTGAGAGTCCAAGGATAAAATGGAAGCTTATGGGAAATAGTAAAGCCCACTGAAAAATCGAGAAGTGCCACCAAAAACCCATGGAAATAATAAAAATAATAATTATTATTATTATAGAACAATACAACTCTAAGTATTCATTCAATTTGTTTTAGTATCTTCGTAACTTACCCAAAAGAATGCGGTAAGCTCAACAGTTCACTGAATCCACCAACTTTCGGTTGGAATGAATCATAATTTCTTTTATCAACGTTTACTTTATTATCAGTGTTGGAGAGGTGTTCATCAGAATTAGCGGCAGCAGAAGTAGGCATATTACCGGTCGATAGAAAATTTAACGCAATACCATCAAGATTTCCACGAATACCTGCATCAGCTGCAGTTAAACATCCAGCTATATCATCCAAATATAGTTCAGCTGGTTCACATTGTTGTCGAACAAAAGTGGGACGATTTAATCGCATAACTAAAATGAAAACAGAGAATAATAAATGAAGAAGACAATATTACTTTTTTTTCTCTCACTCTGCATAACTTTGACTAAAACTTCTCACTAACAGTGTAGTATCAAACATGCATTTCGGCTTATATGGGACTCGTTAGCTCGGTGTACTGGCCATCCTTAAAAAGGGATAGCATCCCTACCTGGACTCGAACCCAACGCCGATCATCTCAAAACGTTATATCTTCATCCACCAGACCACTGGACAACGACGAGAGCCACCTCTTGTTGTGCAACAGGCGTCTATTACACAATCGTTAAAACCTGTTGGTGTGAATACCGAAAAACACGTCTCCTAAAGGTTAACAGGGGAATACCAATATCTTGATAAAGTTTGCACTGAGGATGTTTACAAGGGTAATGAAACAAGGCTTCATAATTTTACCATCCAGGTTAGAAGAGAACGTGATCACATCAAACAAAAACAAATCTCAAACTGACCGCTTACGTACACAAATCGGTAAATGATTAAAAACGAAACAGAAGAAAACATTTTTTTACTTTGATCGATAAACAAAGATTAATTTTGAACTAATTTTACGACGTATTCTTTTGTTTTTACCTTTTCCAAAGACAACAAACATAGAGAGAAATGATTGTTTTTAGAAAATCGGGAGAAAGTAGAGGAAAAACTAAGCGAAAAAAACAAAACAAATAAGACAAGATGAAAAAAAATACGCGAAGAACGGAACACATGTCCTGAATTATATTATATAATTATTATTGTTCCCTTAGGTTCCGAGTCGAACATAAGGCTTCAACAACACATCTTCACCTTGTTCTATTATCCTCCGGTCCTCTTTAGTGGAACCTGCGATCGCCCATAATTTCTTGTCTCCCCCCCCCGCGCACGATCTCTTCCATGTCACCCTCAGACACAAGCTAAACTCGTCGTTACCCTAATCAGGTCCCAATCAAGCGCTGGCCTGGTACACCACGTCATTCAACGGTCTCTTCAGCGTGTGCCCAACCTATCTCCATTGTATTCAAAGATATATGTCGAGCGATACGTTCTTGGTCGGTTTGTTGCTAGAGTTTCTTGTTGCTAACTCTTTCTAGACATTTGATCTTTCATATGAGGTGAAGGCAGGTGTCAATAAAAGCCTCTAGTGGCTTGTTGGGAATGCTTTCCGTAACGCGCCAAGTTTCTGTTCCATACAGAAGAACTGAGTCCTGAATACTTGATACATATATATATATATGCTTGAAATGCTACGTAAACACATTTCTCATTGTAAACACTTGTGCACGTATTGCGCATAAGGAGATAAAAACAGATGGGAACTCTGTACAACATACTTATGTCAATATCACACAAACTCGACGAGCTACAGGCGAAGACCTACAAACTGGCAAAAGAAGCAGTGAAGACAGGACTTCAAGCAAACACACAGAACATGGAGATGAAGATAGCCAACCAACAACAACAACAGACATCAATTACTATCAGCGGAAGAAATTTGAACAAGGTCACTTCATTCACGTATCTAGGAGGCATCCTTTCAACTACAGTTGGACGGCACATACGAGGATGTCAAAACTAGTATCGAAAGGTAAATCACACCTTCATCATTCTGTAATCAGTTTAGATAGTGGACATTCTTATTACTGCTGGAAGAAACAAACGGGGATCTTCACCTAAAAAGAACTGCTTTGAGAACTCCCTTAGTCATTCTACTTTTATGAAGATATGTAGCTCACTGGCTTCAACAATCGATTTTCAATTAACGTGTCTACCACACTTTAAATCTTTTTTTTTCCTTCACGTTCCCAGTGAAACATACGGCTCCAAGCTATAGGCTTGAAGATTCCGTAGCAGTGTTGATTTTTTACAGGATGGGGTTGCTAGCCTCATGCCCAACCTTTCCTCTTTACCAGTCTCACTACTGGCTTAGCGAGGTAAAGGTGTGCGCCGGCCGGGGCTCGAACCCCGGACCATGTGCATGGTCGGCGAGCGTCTTAACCGATGTGCCACCGACGCATACTCTTTAAATCCAGTTTCATATAATTCACACCACAGCATAACTGGATTTTAGCGACAGTCGTCACAAAATAGGTGTATGACATGGTTTAAGCTGAGCTATCCTGAACAGATTATCTACGTATCATTATATAGCGATCATGAAGAATTCAAACAAGTTATAGTAAAGCTTGAGCCGAGGATGTTTATATTTGAAGATATCACATTCACAAGAGAAGAAAAAATCAGTTGAAAAACATGCCAATTTTAGATATCCTAGTCAAGAGAACGAACACAATTATGCAGGAAATCAACCCACATAGAGACCAAATATTTAACTACACCAGCAATAATCCAATTGAAACTGCGTGCAGACATCTTTTTAAAGGAGTTCAACCATACTGTAGTATTCCAGTACTGAAGAGAACGGGAAGACAAAGTCTACTGACTGTCCTCACAAAAAACAAATACCCATACAATTTCATCGGAAAATGTTTAAACTCAAATCGGAATACCACCAATATCGATCCCATCTACAAAAACTACAAAAAAAAATTCATTCTACCATAATATAAAGAATATCTCTGCGATAATGGCTAGAATACTATGACCATTTGAAACAGATATAGCACACAAGCCAACCATCACAATCACTTCATTCAATATTGTGCAGACCAAAAAAGAACCAATAGAAAAAGAAGATAGGAACAACACACCATCTACAAAATAAATTGCACAAAGTGTAGTAAACACTGTATTGGTAAAAGTGGACGTCCTCTTCGAATTAGAATTCAAGAACATAAATTAGCTGTGAAAAGACACGATAGGTATTCTTTCATATTGATGCGTGTGTAGATAATTATGGACACCGATTTGATTGAGAGAATGTGGAAATTTTAAACAGAGGAAACACAAAAAGTAATCCCAGAGAGTTTCTAGAAACCTGGTACCATCGACCAAATTCACCAAATAATAAAAAATAAATCATATGACAAATAACGTTCAAATTCCAAGTCAATAAAAAGGATTAACAGAGACGGAAGTTAATAACCAATTACGATAGAGGTCAGGAGATACAACTATATCGTCAATCATGGAGAATTCAAAAAGGTATATATTAAAGCTTACGCTAAAAAATGTTGTCTAGATAGACAATGAAACCTTCGCAATTACATCAATTAGCTCAGAGAACACAACTAAATCAAAAGATTATCTATGCATCAGGCTAAGGGCTAAACTAGGCGCGGAGAGGACTCGAACCTAAGACCCGTCAGCTGAAAACCAGGTGTGTGTAAAAATGCACCACACCTCTGCAATCGTGTATGAATTACAGCTCCATTGAGATAGAAAAAACAATCTGATCCAAATAACTGAATCATAAGAACCTGTTTGTTTTTTCATTTCTCTCAACATTTGAATAAATTGGTACAGTTAACAGACATGTGTGTACAAAACAACAAAAATCAATGTGAATAAATTGAAAACAAATGATTTCACCAAAGAGACTGGTTTCTTTTTTCCCAACGGATTTCTTATATATTTCATTTTCTTATCATAGGTTGATTCCACACCGTATTTTTGGTACAAGTATGGAATTTTTAGCATGTGATATCGATAGCCCAAATTTTGCAGACCGACCATTGATATCAGATGTTCGTCGGCAGGGGGTCGAACCCCGGACCATTTACATGGTCGGTGAGAGTCTTAACCACTGTGCCACCGAATCGAGCTATTTTGTCGATTGATAATTTTATAGGATTTTCTGATTTCCGCCTGGTAATGGCAATGTTGTAAGCGTTTGTTCCTATGAGACGTAGACTTTTTGGTATATGTACAGAAAATCGGAGGGGTATGTATGTATGTATTCAAGCTGTACAATTGTATGTATCTGGTGTTTCGTCGTTTTTTTTTTCAAATAATAATAATAACAGAGTAAATTCCAACAAAGCGATATCAGATGATGAAATAGATTATAGAAAATCAAAACAAGTGATTCAGCGAAGAGACTCTTTTCAACAAATTTATCATCAAGCTGTACAGTCGTATATATATGGTTTTTAAGAAGTTATATCCGGTGAGGGCATTGAATTATAGGTGTGAATGCATAGCACCGATACTGTGGAAGATGGGTTATACATTTTGAGGAAAATCCTAATGGAAAATGGATTTCTACCACGTTTTGTAGATAAGAATATGCATTCAAAGCCTACAAAACGTGACTTATCAACCGTTCCCAGAAAATACTTTACATGAGCTTGGAATTCAAAGGGGACTTAGCTTCCGATATCATGAAACGAAGGATAACACAGTCCCTGAAAAGAACATTACCTGCTGTATCTCTGAGAATAGCCTTTACTAGCCGACCATTACTGTTCAATAACCTGAAGGACAAGATCCCACTGTTGACCAACTCTGTGTGTTTATCAATTCACATGCTTGTGTGGAGCTAGGTATATCGGTCGTTCGACTCGAGTTTTGTCCAAGAGGGTGCAAGAACACTATCCTGCATGGTTACGAAAAGGTGGAAGTGGAGAAATAAGAAGCGTGATCATTGAACATCTGGTCGATAATGATCACCCTATCTCTATAGCCTCCACCTTTAAAGTCATCTACAAGGCAAAGAGTAATTTACCCAAATCCCTACGTACCCGACTCATCTGTATTGCTGAAGCTTTGGCTATCGAAACAGAAAAGCCAGATCTCTGTGTACAGAAAAAGTTCGTTCAACCCCTCCAACTTCCATGGTCTTAAAGTATGGTAATCCCCAATCATATTTTAGCTCTACAAATTTTTTATTTTTTTCATTTTGTCTATTCAGTTTGTATACTCTTCCTTATTAAGTCAATTGTTATTATTACTATTCTCACTTCGAACTGTCCCGGTATTATTTCACTTGTTCCACTTGTCATTCTAAATCAATTCTTCTTTACAACGATTAATTCTATGCTATTAAATTTCACTCAATATTACGTAACGTTTTTGTTTTATTCGATTTGTCCCTTGA